CGCTCTTCGATCCAGAACCCAGCTACTGTGGTGCTATTTGCCTCTAAGCCTGAACTGGCAGGAGTTATGCTGGTAAAAGCCATCAAACAGGCTTAGCTGTAGGAAACAGGAAAGCCATGGGGCCAACAGCTCACAGTTTCAACTGAAGTATTGAGCAAAAGCATTCTCCCTCCGGCGTAAGTCATATTTTCCGTAAGAGAAAATGACTGGGGGACTCCCTTGTGCAAGGTCTATTAGGAAAATTTTCAGTGCAGACAGGCCAGAAAGCAGAAGGAAAGAGTAAGGACTCTACACACTCACTCCATGGACTTCCTTGGGTCAGGCAAAGGGTCAGGGCCAGGTCTCTGTGACCCACCAAACTTCTATGATATGCGCAGATGGCCTGAGGCAAGCCTTAAATCGAGGAGCAACAAAGCATGACGTGGTGCCATCATTGGCATGGGGACAAAAAGAAGGGGTTTACAACAGGTGCTATAACAAAATTCCTTTGAAAGCTGTGAACCAAAGACACTAACCACGAGCTGCTGGTAAAGGAGAATCCCCTCTCCACCCAAAAAAGCATTTGGGAGCTTTTGTGTGGAACAGAAAATATCTGCTGGCACCACAAGAGGGATAGGACACCCGGAACTGTACTGCAGATGTGTTTCAGTTCACAGCCTTCAAGAGCAAAATCACCAACAAGAAAATAAAACAAAATGTTGCAAAAAATAGCCTCAAACCTTCCTAGTTCCGAATTTGCAGCGCATTCACTGCTTACTCACTTTTTGCTAAGTCTAGAGCTGCCAGGTCAGGCCCCCACCCTTCCCTCCAGCACAACTGCGCTCTGCAGCTTGGAAGCTATTTTTTTCCACCCTGCTATCAAAAAAAAAAAAAAAAAAAAAAAAAAAAAAAAAAAAAAGAGAGAAAAAAAAGAAATCATTGTCGTGAAAGCTTTTATCGTCCTGAAAACGTGCCAACTGCGAAGGCGACTCTGCGTCTCAGACGCCTGTTTCCTGGCAGATTTTACATCCTTTGCTCAACTGCTAGGATGGCGGGGGCAGGAGGTGCCTGCAGCAACGGCAGGCTGTGAACTAGAGTTTTATACAATCACGTGTTTAACTGCTGCTGAATGCCCCAGAGAGCAAAACTTTCAAACCCAGGGCTAAGCAACACAAGAGCTAGACAAACATCCAAGCAACAGCATCAGCCTGTCCAAGGTAAGGAAAAGGGGTGAACATGATGCATGGTGATGCTGCGCACAGACCATCAGGATGGGGACAGGCTACCAGGACAGATACAGAAAAGGTGTTTGGTGCTGGTTTTGCACGCAGAAATCCCTGTTCCCTTCCAGCCTCAAACTGTAGGGGCTTTCATCAAAAAATAAACAAGACAAAAAAAAAAAAAAAGACACAATCCCAGCAGGACATTTTTCTTTTAAAGGCAGATTCTGATAGTTCCTTGGTATATGACAAGTAGTATCTACCCTTACCCACCTACCTGTAACTAGCTCTTCCATCAGCTGACGACTTGCCCTGGTAATGCAGTTCAGGAATTCAGGCCATCCAACGTTGGATACAACTCTAAGTTACTTGGAACTGCCTGCGAAAAGGAAACTAAGCAGTCTGGAAAAACAGGAATGGATATGCTTTCAGATTTGTTCTCACCCCAGTGCACGATAAGTAGTTAGGAAGGAACTGGTCTGGAGTAGAGGTGGGACCAATCCTACTTATTCTTCAGATGCCTTAAATGATGGTCCCCACCAGCCAAGTACAGTGCACTAAGTTGATGGTGCACAGAAAATTGGCTTATATCAAACAAAGTTACCACTTCTGCCAGACCACTAAGAAGCACTGTATGCACCTCCCAGGCAGGGGTGTTTCATGGGGCTGCAGAGCAGCACTGCAGGGGAAAGTGTGGGGGCACAGCTTGACTTGCATGATCCAGCCCCCCAAGGAGGCCAAGACTCTTCATGTGTTCTGTATTTTCTAAAAAACTGCAAGAATAAAAAGTTGCAAAGCTCCTACTGATCACACAAGGAAAGAGCAATGAAAGTTAAATCCTCCAATAGGTCATGAGAGCTTTTTTCTTTCTACATCTCCCTGAAAGCCCTGCTCATTAGCAATAGGAAAAGTAAATCTTCATCTTGCTTTGTACCTGGGTATCTTCACCTCCTTCAACTTTCTCACTTTCTCTCCTTGCTGGCTTTCCCAGAGCTAACGGGAAGGACAAGACAGGCATCTGCTCTCCTCCATGGTGTCCAACTCAGCCTACAGGTACAGCATGTGGCAGCAAAGGAAGCAGGACCGCAGACAGGGCTGGCATTCAAAGCTTAAAATCCAAGATGGGCTGAAAGAAACACAACCTACCAGCAGCCAGATGCTCTCGAGAGGGCAACAGGAACAGAGAAGAAGTTGGGGAGATACTTAGAGCTGTTTGATACTGCCTATGGCCCTCACAGATGCTGCCTTCCAGAGCCTGCGACCTGGCAGCGGTGGAGAGCAGCAAAGCACATTCACCTCACAGCGCCGACGCAGGAGCCAGACGCTCTCCTGCCGCCGAGTGAGAGGAGAGCAACCGCCAGCCCTCTCCGAGTCCCAGAACAACGAGGTGGAGGATGGGACACAGCCAGCGTCTGTCTGCGGCCTCTGCCAGCGCGGCTCCCACCAGGCCTTTCGGGGAGGAAGGCTGGCACACGGCAGCTTCTCCAATGACCAGCACTACCAGCGGTCCCATCTGCATGTCTGCATCGTTGGGGTTAAAAGGTAGGCATTAAAAGACCTGCCTTTGTTAGTGCCAGCCTAGAGGAAGAAGAAAAGCAGCATTATGAGCAAAGCAATAGACATGTATAATTAAGGACGCCTGCCACTTCCCATTATAGCTGATTTTAGGCACCAGCTTGGATAGGAGTTGGCTGCCGTTTCCATGCTTTGTCTGAGCATCAGAATGAATTTCTTTTGTAACGGGTTCAGATGTTTCTCAGAGTTGATCCAAAAAATGTAGGTTGTTTTTCCAGGGTCTGAAGACACTGTTAGCTTCAAGAGACAGTGCTGATGTCTCTGGCATTTCAATTCAGGATTATTTCAACCAGGGAATAGCTGTGCTTTCAGTTGTCTCTTAACAGATTCAACTCACCTTATTTCCTCAGTCACAACCTTCACAACCACATCAGATGAAGGAAAAAGTCACCCTAATCACCACCAGCAAGTTCTTACTTGGCAAAAAATTAAGAGACAACATGCATCAAACCTCTCATTTTCCCTGAGAACACATTTTCAACAACTAATGAATCCTTGAAGGAAGTCACTGAAAGGGTAACTTAGCTAACAAGTAAAACTTACATGGGGCAGAGGGACAAAGAATTGGTTAAATCTGGCAACCAGGACAGACTGGCATGGTACTGAGCCACTCAGACAAGTATGCTGGGCTATTTGGACCATTGCTCTGGGCTGCCTTTCAGCCCCAGACTTACTGGAGCAATGGAGAGAGCCTGAGGCAACTAATATAGACCGTCTAAGGGAAGATCGTCATTCAGCTGCTCCTGCTGCCTGCTGAAACAAGTTCTCGCAGTACTAACCCTAAATTAGAACCTGGTTCCTATACAAGAAGGATGTTCCAGTAACAATCTAGACACGTTTTGTGGTCAAGTCTACGAAGATCCTAGCCCTGAAAGAAGGCCATTTCTCTCAGTCTTCCTGGAGCTTTCTTCCCACTCATATTTGAACACAAGCTGACAAGGATTTCCTTGAGTTCAACCCCAAAACTGAACTAGCCCAGGCCTTCCTGCCAAACCAGAGCCAGGGGACACTTTGGGACATGGGCTGGACCAGCCTCTTCCATGCAGTTCTGTTTCCGCAAAGGATTAGCCACATCAGTGCTGGGCACTTGGGCCACATCTTCTTTACCCGGAGGCACAACCAAGTGGGAGCTGAGGGTACTTTGGGAAGCGCAGATGGATAATACAAGTGCTGGTCCTGGACTCAACTGCCACTAAGTGAACAGCTGGCCTTACAAAGCAAGCTCTCCCACTTAAATCTTTACACTGCTGGGACCTCCAGTCAAATTGGAATTCTGGTCTGACAGCTGGCACTCCACCCCCGTTTTGGTGCCAACTAAATATTGCTAAATATGGCAGCAGTACAAAGTGTTTGAATTTGTTAACCATTTCCAATACTTTACTCTCTGCTGAAGACATGGATGCTTTGAGATGCTTCCTTCAGGGCAAGCCAAGCTGGGAACACAACATAGGCCAGAAGGAATCAACATCATCTGCTCAAAGCAGCTGCTTCCAGGGTAGCAAAAAGACAAGTCTTAACTTTGACATGAGCTGCAGTGATTTCAAGTGTCTTCTGTTGCGTGCAGCAGCAGTCTCGTGATTAATTTTATATATGTCGGGGGAAAACAAACAAACAAACAAAACACATCCTTTTAAGTATTTTTTTTCAGAATAAACTTGTATTTTAACTCACAGTTATCAAGACAAGACCCAGGCAAACTCAGTACTGTGTGAAAGTGCATTTATTCCAAAGCTGAATTTTCATATAAAACAGGGAACAGCAGCATCAATCTTTACACAGAGCTGCAGCGCTCTTCCAGGCTCCAGGGCTTGGGGTCTTGAACAATCATCACAGAGCACCAGGGAACCTCTTTTCAGAGTCGTCAGCAAAGAGGTGAGGTAGGGAGCAAGAGAACAAAAAAGCAGACACATTGCCAGTGGCATAATTTAAGAAATGGTGCCTGCTCACAAGAAGAGAGAAGGTATCAAGACACTTCGCAGGAAGCTTAATGTCTGCACAAAGATCTCACAGAACACCCTGCTCTGCAGGCTACTTGCCAAGGAGCAGCTGCCTCCATCAGGAGAACTGCATTATTTCTGCAGACAGAAAACAGGACTGTTGGGTTTAATAATCTGTTGGACAGCTTCCAAAGACCGAAGTGGCTGAGAGGCCATATTAGTGCTGTGCTCCCCCGCGGCCTGGAGCCCTCGCGCTGGCTCCAGTGTGCGTGCTTGGTCCCAACTGATGCCCTAGAAGGGTTTACCTTCCTCCTCCTCCTGCCTCAGCCTCTTGGAGAGATGCTCACTAATGGCCATGAGTGGGTTGGCCTTGTACTTGGGGTTCGTAATGACCTCATGAAATCGAGCCATCTCCTCCTGTCTGGGGAGAGAAAAGAATAAACACAAACACACAAACGGTGAGTGCCTCATGCATAAGGGACTGAGCAGGTAAGAACAAGAACCATACAGCAATGAGTTTCTGTACAGACAGAATTATCCTGGGTGTAAACCTCCAAGAAAATAGTACAAAAAATAGACTTAATTCACCCAAGGCCAAAGCTTAAATTACTGCCAACTCCATGGGCTCCAAGCACTTGATCTCATGCCACAAAAGCACAGACAACCATGTTAGTTCCCACCATCCCTTGGAAAATCTGGAGCTTTCCCATAGTAAATCAGGACCAAGAGACAGTGGGGATCCAGTAAATCTTCTAAGAATGAAAAACATTCAGAGTGCACTAGCACAAAAGCAGATCCTGCATTTAAGAGCTCATCTCTCTGTGCTCCACATAGACACTTGGTAATCCTGATTGCAACACTAGTTAGACACCAGGGGAGGAGCAGGGGATAGAACTACCTCTGTATACGTGGGGGTCACAGCTGGTTGTTGTGGAATCTTTTCTTAAAAAGCAGGCAGGGCTATTGCTTCAGGAGAAGAATAAGAACACAGAAGGAATGTAAATAGATGAATATATGAAAGGCTGAGTTTTCCTATAAGCCACTTCCACTGTGGCTTCCCCATCTCCTCCACACAGATTGCCAGGCTCTGCACGGCCCAGCCAGCCACACACCAGCAGTCCCTGTGCATCATCAGAGGGCTCCCTGACCTGCACCAGGCAGCCCCTGCCTCTCTCTAGGATATCCCTTCCTTTGGTGCCAGCCTTACCCCTATCAGAGAAACAGAAAGAAATGACAAATCTCAGGCTCAGTGTGAGACAGTTGAGGCAATGGGGGTGAAGGCTGGAGAACCTCCTCTCCTACCTGAAGTCCTAGAAAATGGACTTCATGATCTCCCCTGTTGGGGATCACAGTTTTTACAGCGAGATCACTACAGTAGGATACAAGCCAGTACTCAGTACAGGTGGCCAGATTAATGTAGAGAGGCCAGGAGGATATCCAATGATCTCACACCTGCTTGCTGATACAGAAGATAGTGCAGTCATCCACTCAGGTGATCTGTAAAGTCCCAAATCAAAATGCGTTTCTCACCCATGAGTTCCAGAACAACGGCACACTGGCGGCACACCAGGCCATGATCCTTGGGCTTCTGCAATGAGCCAAAGGAGGACTCGTCCGGAAAGGCAGGGCTGAGCTAAAGTCACTGCAGCGAGGACACCTGCCAAATGTGACCAACCGATAAACTCCTACAATGGAAGAAAGCTCAGAGGAGACGGGGTGAGGCACCCATAAAGTTCAGGAATAATGCAGGGTGTGATTCACTAGCCACAGCTGGTGCACAGAAAGTTGACTTTAGCTCAACACAAAGTGAGCCAGAGGGTGAGCTTTGATTTAGATAAGCAGCAGTTGAGTGGATCAACTGATGTAAATGTTTCTTCCTGAAACAGCTACATCTACCCAGAGAAAAGAGTATGCGTGACCCATTCTAACACCGAGTATAAAACCTGAACTGCAAAAGAATTTCAAAGAGAGACAGAGTGCTGGACTCCGACACCAGCTCCAGGCAGAGGAGGGTGTTCACAGACTGCACATAAGAGAATGCTCGGATCCACAAACGCACTTATTCTCCTCAACACCTGAAACTGAACAACCTAGAATTGCCAGACAAAACTTTTAAGTGCAGATCACAGAAAGCAAAGACTGCCAGATGACAGCGCTTAGCTCCAGGAGGGCTGTGCTGATGGGAAGTCAAGTTCTTGATGACTGCTTGTGTTATAAAACATCTACTAGGTTATACAGAGGAGCAAGATGCTACCAGCCACTTAATGAACTCCAGAGATTATCCAAAAACATGCAGTGCTTCATTCTACAAGAAAAGTTGTGGTGGGGCCAATACAGAGCTGACCCTATGAAGGAAGCAAGGCATGCAAGTTGTGATTCCCGAGGTGATCCAGCAAAGGACCGTAGCTCGTGATGCTTTGCAGGGATTCAGGAGCTCCTTCTCTATGCAACCATTCCCTGAGGGTATCAGCTAGAACTAGATGGGAGTGTGTGTCACTGAAAACTGAGTCACAGCTGGATGTTAGCAGCTCCAACTAAGCAATTTGAGAAAGAAGAAAGGCACCACTTGTTTGATAACAGCGCTGCCTGTGTCTCACAAGGGGACGCAGCACAGGTGTGCTTGCTTTGACAGTCAAACCTAGAAGGTCTCCAGTTAAGCAGTACTGGCGGCATGAGTACCTGCACTGCAGTGTTTCCAGAGGAGCAGAAGCACTCATGAGACAATGGGATTTGAAAGACATATCCCCATAAGTGGTGTCATGGGGAACCAGAGAGGCAATCTATCTCCAAGGACAACTATGGTCAGCAGGGACAAGATAATAATTGGTCTGGGCTTCTCCTAAAACCCTAGAGATCATATACAGGAGACTCAAGCTAGCAATTCATTTTCAATGAGGCCAGGAAGGTGAATTAAAGGAGCAAGTTCCCAAGTCTCCTGCAATTAGAAGACTCCAGGAGGTGTAGGCATCTCTGCCAAAGGCAGCAGCATCTCTGAACACATAAAGGTGTGCTAAAATACCACAAAAAGAGTCCAATAGAAAGACAACATTGAAAAGACCTATAGGGAGCATAGACCAGATACTCTGATAAATGGTACTTACAAAAGCCTGTGTTTCTGAGCTTGTTTCATGACACAGAAGTCTGTTGGTTCCGCCTTTGTTGTCCTGTGGCTGTGAAGAGAAGATATGAAATAAGTGAGTAATGTTATAGAGGAGAGAAAATTTAGCAACAGGTGAGGAGATGGAAAGAGTTCAATGACTCTGAATCTGCCTTTCCAGAAAGTATAGATAATTGCCTGCACAGAAATGGTCCTGAAGAGCAATTGTTTCCATAGCCAGACAACAAGGGAAGTACAACACATTCTGCCACACACTGACAACAGCTCCGGAATCAGGACCACCAAGGTCAGAGGTTAATGCCATTGGAAAAAATAGGATCACTTAACTCTAGAACTGGTCATGAGCTGTCCATGCCTGGATCACTTTCTGCTCATGGCTAACTTCCAGATCAAAGTGATACTGTTGCCTGGAGAAGAGATCCAGGGAACTTCCCTGGCCCACTGTCTAGCTCATCCTTGCCCAGCTCATGCTACAGAGCTCCAGTCTTGGCAGGCATCACACTCAACATGGAAGAGGGAGCGTCTGGCCTTGCTCCTGACCAGTTCTGCTTAGGGTCTTGCAGTGGGGTCATTAAAGAAAAAGGTTCTACTTATATTTTAAGGTAATGAATGGCAATATTGCTTTCTCCCTCTCAACACAAACTGGCAAATCTCTGGGTAATGGAAGTTAGCTGCAGATCAGTTAAGCTAATGGCAAAGCACAACAGAGCTTCAGCTTTTACAGTGAAATCCAGAATCTAGAAATTCCCATGAATCTACAATAACGAAATGATTTACAACGTGCAGCTGAGGCACAGGGGCAAGTCCAGATTCACGCTCTCTGCACCCATTTCGTATTTCTGGGTAAAGTCTAAGGAGACCAAAGTTGTCACCCCATCCTGCACTAGACAGCTGTGGTGTCGCCCAGAAGATGAACAGGAGAAGCAATCCTGACCCAAATCAGTTTTCCTCAAGGGGGATCCCCACAAACACAAACCCTTCCCACCCGATTTACTTCCTGCCCCAGCATCCAAGCTCCCTGTCCAACCACACAAATGCAGACACCGTGGATGCTGGTTAGCCAGGCCCGGCAGCACAAAGGCTATTCAGGAACGGCAGCCGGGCAGATCAATGCCTGCACACTGCACACTCGGGCTCCTGTCCCTGCTGCGGTCACCCTGGCACTGCTGGGTTACGTAACAGGCCTGCGAGTTCATGTGGCACCACGAGCAGCAAGAGCAGATAAACAGCTACAGGGGCCTGAGCAGCAATCCCTCATGTTGCTCTGTCCTCCTGCAAGAGCAGGAAACTTCTTTACTCACTTCACGTTCGTTACTATTTGGCACAGGAGCAATTTCCTGGTCACTGCCCCCGTTTGCCTAGATCACTCAAGGCAGCATAAAGAAAACCTTTCTGAAATCAGAGGGCAACCCACAATCAGCAGAGTATGGGGCTGCAAAATCTGTGTGCGCCCCCAAGTCCCCATGACAATGTTTTCAAAGGAAAGTAGGTCTCAAATAGCTCTGCAGAGGGTAACCCTACTTAAAGAAAAGCCTTTCCAGAGTGCACCACTGGACACACTACAAGATGGTATGTACCTGTGGCTGTGCCTTTCAAGACAACTTGCTCTAGGACACTCTGTAAGATGCAGGACTGCTTTAAGGTGTCACATCCACTTTTCCTTTTGAGAAGAGCCACATCACTGTTTCAAGGGACTCAATGCTTCTGAGGGCTTTTCAGTTCCACCCAACACCTCTGTCCCCCTGGTCTGACACGTTTGAAAGGCTGTTGTCTGAATTTCCACTAACAAATCACCAGGATGCTGCCCGCTCACTCGGACTGTGAATGGCAGCCCTGTTTCATTACACTTCATTGCCTTCATTCATTATAAATCAGAATAAAAACCTCACTGTAATGCTCTCTTACCCAGCAGGAGATCAAATTCCTGGAGAATCTAATCTTTTATTAATACTGCTGACAAATCACCAGAGTATTACCCTTCATTTATGTAATGATTCAAATCCTATAAAAGCCTCTTCTGATTATTTCAAACACTTATGTACACGCATTCTCATGCAGCACAGGAAGCCACAAGCCATCAAGGGGATTAGTCGTCCACAGAGGGAAGAGCACTGTAGCTCTTCCATCCCAGCTGCAAAAGGGACTGGTTTTTGGTTGGCACGTCATGGACAATGTCAGCTCATGTCAAGCTCCCACATCAGCCAAAATGACTGCGGACAGGCCTGGCCAACATCAAATTTCTCAGCCAGAGCAGTGCCACTCTACCCTTTTGTGCCCTGAGTCCCACTGGGCTTTCTAGATACTAGGGCCCTGCAGTCAAAGTGAAAACAGAGCCAGAAGATGAGCTCAATCTTCCAGAGGACAAGGGCTGCCAGAGTCCCTGGAAGATCTTGGAGAGGCAGAGAAAGAGCAATGGAGCTGACAACACTGCTCGGAGGAAGTCAGGCTAAAAGCTTGTATAAAACCACAGGAAGCATCCACGTGCACTGCACATCCACAAAATATATTATAGAAACAGAATATTGACTGTAGCAGGTCAGATGGAAGGAGCCTTTTGGCCAGTATCCCTGTTAGAGAAGTGCACAGCAGATGGCCAGGGAAGAGCATAACCACAGCGGGAGCACAGGTCCCCATCCCCTACATCCCTGCGAGAGGCCGAGCGGGCGCAGCGCGGCCACGGGCAGGACGCTCCGCGGAGCCCTCCTCCTTGGGCCTGCCAGGCCCTGCCTGAACACGCGGCCTCGACGGCCTGCACGGCGGAGCTGCTCAGACCACAGACCTCCTCGTGCTAGGGTTGAACCTGCTGATCACTGTTTTTGTGAGATGCCTCTCTTTCTCATTCTGGAAAAGATGATGAACTGCTTCCTCTCCATATCACACTTGACTTCACAGACTGTTACATTCCCAAGGTTCCTTGTCTCCACGCCCTTCGGAGGCTGAGGGCTGCCCAGCTCACTTAGGTACATGTTGTTGTAGCGCACCACCCACTCAAAGGGGGAAAAAACAGCTTTTTGACCTTAGGCTAAGACACAGCACAAAACTACATCCAGCCAAACCTCAGTGCCCTAAAAGACCTGAAACTCTGTGTACTTCTGCTGCTCATTCTCACTAAAAGAGAAGGCAGACTTAGACTTAGTAAATGGCCACATAAAGAAAAAAAAAGTAAAGAGAGAGAGATGCTATTCAAAGAATTAGCAGCCAAGTGAGAGAAAAATATTTTCCCTTGCTTAGATACAAGTCAGAAAAAAGTTTTATCTGAGGGTAAATTTCTAGAAGCACAAGGAACAGCCAACCCAACTCGGCCAGATTCTGTAGGTAGGCACCCCACCGGGGCCAAAGCTTATTTCTGGGATGTCCAGCAAGTCACAAAAGTTCAGGGTATCTCCAGCCTTGCTCTGCAACCAAAGGACAGGCTGCTTTGCCAGACAGCCTTATACTTGTCTGTTCTCTAACCCAAACAGCTGTTTATTATGGTCAAAACCAGTTTCTAGTTTCACTCGCTATAGAGTGACTGGAGATGAGAGACAAGCACGCAGAGCTCTTTTGTTCTGCACTGGGGGATGGAAAAACACCTGCAATACTGACCAGATGGCCATGCGAGCACTACATTTAAAAAGAGAAAGCACAAGGGCAGAGCCACCTCCCCCCAGACCTGGCCAGTAGTCAAAAGTATAGTAGTATAGATCACAATGTAGCACAAGCGATGGAAAAGGGAGCAAATTCAATGCAATTTCCAACCAAAAGAGAAAACACATGGTCAGAAACCTAGCAAGCTTCTGGCAAGGCCGAAATTCTCTTTCAGTAAAATAAATAGAAAGGAAATACCATCTATCTGCTCTTGTCCAAAGTCACGTTCCAAGCCAACAGGGCAAACAAAGAAACTGGCCAAGGAGTAAAGCTGTGCTCAAAGGTTTCAAACTGACTCAGGAGAAAGCCTGAAGGTTTGGAAGGACAGAACAGCAAGCTGCAATGTAGCCAGAGGCCTACGTGGGAAGGAAGCCAAAAATCCTAGCAGGCAGCAGCACTCTTCTCAAACCTGGCTCTCCATCCATGTCCCTCTCTTGCACCACAACTGTGTGAATTAGACAAGCCAAACTCCTCTGCTTTCACTCTTGCAAAACAAGAACCACCTGAGTTTCCTTTGAATGCTTCAGATATGATCTGCTAGAAAAGAAAGGGTTTCTCTTATTTTGCCCTTTTTTTTCACCTCTAAAGGTGACATTTAGGACATCTTTCATTATAAAACACACGTCAATTGCAAATTCTCAAGTGAACACAGCAGTATTGCACTCTGGATGCTTGTGTGTCAATCTTGCAGCTCCTAAGAGGGTTGGTTGCTCCCAACCTGTCTCCTATCAAGCTGCATCTGAGGAAACCAGTTCCCTTCTTACCTGGAGATTCAGAGGGCACATTGTGGCCAGTGAAACATGAAGCTGAGAATGAGGCCCTGTTCTCCTGGCATTGAACTTCCCTTGCCTGTAGCTACAAACTGAGCTGCAGGACATTTTATCCTGCACGAGGCATGAAGGAGAAACATACATTGCTCATCCCCAAACAACACATACCTCTTGGGTGTCTTCTTGTCCCTGCCACCTGTGGTCAGGTCAAAGAGCTCAGGAAGGGCTTCCATCAGTGGCTGCATGTCTCCCACCACAGGTGTTGCCTTCCGCTTCACTTCAGCTTTCTGCTTCTGCTTGGCTAGCTTCACACCTTCTATTTCTGAGTTAGAAACAGGGCATTAGTGGGGGAAAGAGAAGTGTTTCCATGAGATACCTCATGATCCATGAAATTTCTAAGTCCCAACCTCCCCTTCTGCTTGCCTGTAACTGCACATACATCTCTATCAGCATTTGCAGTAGGAAATGGCATGCTTAGAATCACGTTGTCTGAACTGTTTTCATCCCTTGCACCATGGCACATGAGACTACTCACTGCCCACAGCAACACAGCACAGGAGGCTGCTAGGAGCTTCCAGCTGACCTCCAGGGTACACCCAGCTGTCCTAGATGCACCAGAGCATCACCAGAGCAGCCAGAGCTCAGCATGCTCAGCGTGTTCTCTTTCCTTCTGCCAGACAACCACTAGGCCTGGAAATCAGCTTCTCTGCCTTGACACTATTAGGTGTGCCAGAAAGCTGGAGGAGGTGATGGAGTTCTCCCATGGTGCACTCAGTTAAGGCCAGAGCAGAAGAGCAGGCCTCTGCTGCCAGCCTCAAACAAGCTCTGTGCTCCTCATGGCAAACCAAGCCCTCTGAGCAAGGCCAGCCAGCCTGTCAGCGCTGCCCTGCACTGCCGTGGCCATCACCCTTCCCCTCAAGCAGGCACACACCACATGAAAGCATTTCGAGGACAAGCTTCAGCTCTAAACTGCGAACTCCTCATACGGACATTATGGAGCACAGGGACAGCAATCGTGCTGCCAAATTAGTCACTGCAGGAAGGACTATGGCTGTTAATGCAATGGAGCCACAAAAGGAGGCCTGCAATCATCAAAAGTATTTGTGGTGGAAACAAGACGACACTCAGTGCCATTCTGCAGACCCACAGACAAGATGTCACCTTGGTCTAACCTGGTGCTCCATTCAAGAAAGCAGAGCTCAAATCCATTGGATAACTGGTTATTCCTTTAATATTTTTGCCTTGTTCACTCCCCAACTTAAGCTGTTTGAGACAAACGACAACCGTTCTCGATGAACGGCAATTTTTGCTGTACATGGATGTTTGTGACAAATCGGGATTGTAAATGCTTCTCCTCACAGGAATCCCTGCCAAGAACACAGCTTTCTGTTCTGCATCACTTCTTTTTTTGGTCTGGCTTTATAAAGCTGGCTACTTTAGAGCTTTCATAAACATTCTGTGCTCAACATTTTCAGACACCTGATTCTGAGCAAACATCCCAAATTCTTTTCCTATGAGGTCTTCATCCTTGGAGCCATACGATACATATATTTTTAAATGCACATACTTCTAATGTCTAACACATTGCATAACTTTTTTTTTCCTGCGCTGGTCTTTCCTGAGATGATTTATTGGAATGGAAGAAATTTCCAAGTTTTGCATTCGCACTACTGGGCTGAACTTCAGTTCCCAGGGTCTTGGCATCCAATGTCAAAAAAGCAGGCCCAGGATAACAAGAAACAACAAACTCCTGGGAAGATTTAGGAAAACAGAGATTTCAAGATAACCATTTCAGTAAAGTTGGGTTCTCTTTTTGGGGAGCAAAGGGAGAAGAACAAGGAACTGCAAAACCCGCAGTAAAGAACGACAAGTTATATGCATCAGGCAAAAGCAATGAGCTCCAGTTTGAACCGACTGCAGCTCTTTGGGCTCAGTTACGACTGTGTTGAAGTGCTCAGTGTCACTGAAAAAAGCACCATCTTGGGAAACATGAGTTCATTTTACTCCAGCAGCTAATAATATCAGATTCTTTATTGATATGTATATAGGCTATTTACAGTTAATCAGTTTTTGTCTCGGTAAGAAGCTACACACCTGGTACTGACATTTGCTGAATTTTTTTTTTTTTTTTAAACCACAGCCTCTTATGGGACTTGGCTAAGCCTTAGTGCAGAATTTGCTAGGGGAATGGTGATATTTGCCAACTAGCTGCAAGTTCAGCTGGGGTACAAAGAGGGCCAGCAATCAGCTGTTGTACCTGTAAAGCATTTCCAAGCATTTCCAATATCTGGTATCTTCCTGGACAGACAATTTCGGTTGAAATTTTCTGTCTTTGGGTTCTCCCCAAAGTAAAGCCTATGCATTTCATTTCTATTCACTCGGTTTAGTAATTTTAGAGCTAGAATAGGGGAAAGGGGCTTGTGTTAGAGCCAAAATATGTGTCATCTTGAGAAAGTCTTTACTGCTGCTGTAGGAGGGCAGGTTTGAGAGCACGAGAGCCTTCTCCTGGATTTTCCCCTATCCTCAACATGACTGACCTTGAACATGGAAGCAGTAGTGCCACCAAAGTCCAGGAGCTTGGCCTCTGTTTCTTGCATGAAGGCATGAATTCTGTGTACCCCTTTTCCATGAAATCACTATCATTAAGATGCTGCTAAGAATACAGCATCTGGTACTAGTCATGATGAGCAAAGGATATTGGGCCAGGGAAAGCTTGAGAAGGGCCTGCTGGAGCACAACTATGTTCCCACGGTAGTATCAAGTATGCACATGGAGAGAACACTTAAGGAGCACTGAAATTGCAGCCAGAAGGCCAGATGTCAGGACTATCACAACCAACTATGTGTTGTGCTTGACTGAGGGCTGAGCACAAGTAACTTGAATGCTTGGTGATGTAAAGGAAGCTTTCCTTAACACTCATTGTGTTAAATTACCACCTTTTTATGTAAGGAAAGCCAGAGAGACCTTCATTGTGAGAGGTGAAATCACAAGCTGATGGACTCAAGCTCAGAGATCAGTGAGAGCTCAGGAGCAGAGAACATATGGCACAGCAGAAAGATGCACCACTCCATCCCACATACAGTCTGCCAGCAATTCTGCTAGGAAAAAGGTATTAAGTGAACAGCGTGTCCCAAGAATAACTCCAGGTGGCAAGAAGCATCTTCCTGTTACACCCCTGCTTCAGAATCTTCTAAGACTCCTTCTGCTGAAAATATAGAGCTACTAGTTGGAGAGAAGCTGCCACATTCCTCGCTGCAGTCAGAAAGGCAAAGCCACCTCTCCTGCCCTCCAAAGGGTCCCTAGACGAGACCACCTTTAACTGCTTTGCAGAATGGGGTCCCTCATCGGCAACTCCCTGCTCCCCTGTCCCCTGCGAGGGGATGCCAGGCACACAGCTGTGCAACAAAAGCCAGACCTGAGCTTGCAAGTAATTTGGTACATGAGGACAGGTAGTGCATAACTAATATGAAAGCAGAGTACCTCAGAGTACCACAGCTGAAAGTCTTACCCTGCTGAGAAACTGGAAATGAAAATACAGAGGCACTTCCCACAGGAAGCAGGAGCACTTCAACCATGGGCTGATTTTGTTTGGCTCTTATTTCACAGCGACTAGAAAGTCAGCGCTGTCTGGTAGGTGGGTTCACTGACCCGTGGCCTCTGGGAGAGAGCAGTAGCACAACCAGACTCCCCAGAGGCCTTCCTTACCAAGGGGCACCCGGCCCCACTGCACTCTCCCAGCACTGCACAGAGATGGGGATTAGTTGGTGGCTGTGTGGGGCTCGGCTCCAGGCTCTCCTACACAGCCCTTCAGGAGCCATTTAGCTCATGCTGTGACTGTACAGTGAGCAGTGACTGTACTGCAGCCTTAACAGGGCAGGACAACAAGCTAAACCTTGCAGTGACACAGTGTCTTAGCTGGAGGCTACGCAAATAGCTTTATGGAGTCTCTTATATCACACACGGAGGAAGATCAAAACCAGCTTTGAGACAAAGACTCCATCTGAGCATTAAAAGCCCTCTGGAAAGGCAAAATCTGAGACTTCTACCCCATGTGCTGGAGAACAAACTTGAAGGTCTCTGAGAAGCATTCCCCCTCCACGGCCTATAGCCCTTGCTCTGATGCTGCCCAGTACTTCCAGCCACTGAACACGCCTCATTTAGGGAGAAATCCACAAGTCAACCAGCGAGATACAAGTGATACAGCTGTTTTTCAGGAGTACTTACTCTGTAGCCATCTTTCTTTCCTCAGCTTCATTTTTTCTTTTTTTGAAAGAATTGTTTTCTCTTCTATACCTAGAGGGGAAAAAGAGACATTAAGAAAATGGAGCCTAGCTACTGCATACAATTTCTGTGTCGAACATTTCATAAAGGTAACACTGCAAAGCCCATAAAATTTTGTTCATGCTTTTCCACTTTTGAATTTGTCAGCATGGCAGACAGGCTGCATTTCAAGCCATAGCTGAACAAATCAAAACTGGCTCCCTGTCAACAGAGAAGTAAGAAATAAGGAAAAAGATTAGACTAGTGGCAGCAGCAAGGGTCCTGCTTTCTCAGGCTAAGTAGCTGCTCTTGAGCATCGCGTTTCAAGAGAACTTTTCTTCCAATCTGCTACATCCCTGTAGGAACCTGGCCTGATCAGACTGGTGTTTTCTTCTGAAAACTAGTCACAAGTGATGATCACTCTCTAAACATCTATGCAATAAGATCAGTTCCCACCGTGATCTGAACTAGGCCTCGTTTGACTTCCCTTTTAGGGTCGTGTGAAATCAGGAAAAATCCAGGTACACGGCATCCAGAGAGCAGTCTGTTATTAGACAGCTTGTAAATAAGGCTAGCACCAACTAAACACTGATTTCACTGCTTGGAAACCAGCTGTGGATCACTGATATCAATACCAAGGCAAATAAAGACACAAATATTTTTAGTGGAGATTTCATTACAGACACTATAAAATTTTATCTTATCTTTGGTGTTTTTAAAAAGGAGGGAAAAAAAGAAAGACTTCAGTCTACCAAAATATCCTGGGAATATTGCTCCAAGAATGTTAATAGAGCACAAATCTCCCTAAACACTGCTCCTCTCACCTTAGGCTCTTGTTAAATGTGGTAAAGCAGAAATACCTTTTATTCTCCCCTTTCAAACAGAAATCAAACAGAATAAAGGAATTCAACACAACTCGGAAAATAGTTTGCTGCAAACAACATCTCTGAAGCTTCAGATCTTTCAGGAGGATTTAAACAAAAGCTGGTGCATAATTTAATCCCTTCAATGATTTAAGATTGGAACAATTCTGCTTAGGGCAGGTAGGGTTTTCTCATAACACTAAGGACAACAAAAAGTTTTGAGTTTCTAGAGGACAAGGAGGATAAAGCTAGAGTTGTCATAATCTCTCGTCCCAAAAAATAAAACAAAAATAAAAAGTCTACTTGTTTTAACCTGATTTCTGCCCCAGGTGGGATGCATTCTGTGGAGACCCAAAGGAGAGCAGGAGCAAACAGGGCAAGGACCCACATCTGCAGCTCCATCTCACACATTTCCCCAAAAAACAGCTCCTCACAACCGTGTTTCCCCTCCTCCCCAACACCCCGAATCCCCACGACTTTGCTGCCAGTGGAGCAAGGATGTGGCATGCGGAGAGGCCAAAACGCTGAGCACAGCCCCATGATCTCTGAGCAACAGCCCGGCCTAGCAACCTTCCCTCTTTCTGGCTTACACTGAGTGTTTCCACATTTCAGGGACGACACTGGTTGTGGCAGTGCTGGGGCGTCTCCCTCCCTTCTCTGAAAACATGTGCATTGCTTCATTGGGAAAACACTGCCTGGCATGATTTGTTAATGAAAATAAAATAAAATAAAATAAAGCCCTTGCCTAGCTGAGCAATTTTAGTAATACCATCAATTCCGATATTTATTTTTTTCCCAAACAGCAGCAGAATATTTAAGGAAATGCAAAAGCTGGTTTCTTGGCGAGAGCCCAAGCGCTGTGCGGGCGGCGAGGCGGACACCCCGGCTCCGAGCACTTAAGCTGCAGATTAGCAGCCCAGCACGGGGGAAGGGAGGTCTGTCCAAGCCGCCCGCCCGCCTGTCCCGTCCAGGAGGCAGAAGGATGGGTGGACCCATAGTCTGGAGGGGAACAAGTCTCATGTGGCCAATATCAAACTTGAAGACGCGTTTGGGGATTTAGCACTAAGATGATCAAGTTGAAGCATGTTGGACAACAGTCAAAAATACTGAAGCTAATTCAAAGGCCCTAATGTCTGTGATTGCTGACCAGTGCCTAAGTCCATCTCCAAAGCCACCTGTCTGGAAGGGGCTGCTGCAGAGGTGCTTGTCGGGGCTTCAGCATCCTATGCACATAAACAGCCAGCAGAAACCCAGCATTAGGCCTCACCTAGGGAGGTGAGCAACACTTGGAGCCCTTCAATCCATCCCAGAAAAAAAGCTGCAGAGAAGCCATCAACCAGAGAAGATAGCCCAGCTCCCACCATAACGGAGAGGCAAAGTGGCCCATTTATGCCCTTCTGCATCAAACTCTGGAAGTCAGAGCTACACAAGAGTCACATGGCACCTTCTACAGACATTTTCAATTTTACATACCTCCCTGCCCATGAGAAGGTTTTTCGCTTGCTGGAAGTTGCCAAGTTGCATTTGGCAACTTCCCCTACCAACACAGCACGCCAAGGCTGCTGCAGACTCACTGGAGAATGCTTCACACGCAGGAGGCAGCTTCAGTTAGTTAATTAACAGCACACGCTGTCCCAAGGTGGTCTTTATTTTTATTTAGCTCACAAGCACCTCTGAGATCAAAGGCAGACAGTAGCTCTGCTTTAATTATTTTCCTGCAAAATCAGGAGGTCTTGGGTCCCCCATGCCAGCCATTTGCACGTGGAATTGAAGCATCACTTGCCTTTGAAACCTTGCTCACAGGAAAGAGGGGTAGCAAAACCCTCACACCTTAGCTCAGGGTAATTCAGATCTTGTAAACTCGACAATTATTCCTGTTAGCAAGGATGTGTTTATTTTCTCTGATCTGTGCGGTACAAAACATCTTAAACACAAACAGATTAAAAAGGAAGAAAAGACTTTCTGCCTCCTACATCAAATGCTTGTTGCTACTCATGACAGTTCTCAGAATCTACCTTCTGAGGCAGACAAGCAGAATTTCTTAGTGCTCCTTCCTTCAGTTCAAAATGGTTGCATGGGTTTTTTGGTAAAGGACTGCAGTCATGGTCTTAGGCTTTACATGTATGTGTGTGTATAGATATATATATTTATATTTATATATATATATTCTATACACACACGCACCCAAATATATGCATCTAAATCTAAAGGATATTTGTGTGTATATATAGATATATAAATAAACATACTCTACCTTGAAAGGATATCCATTTTAGCACTTCCAGGCGTGCAGGAGCAAGCCTTGTTCAATCAAGGCACTAGGTTAAAGCCTTAATACTCCAGGCTTCCCTCAGTCCTAACAGCACTTTTCAAATTGGGCTGTGCAACCAAAAGGGCCAAAAACATGGACTTCACCTCTACATTGGAAAAGCTCCAGTGCATGCAAAGACTCTGCCACAAGCACAAACATTGGT